CTGCAGTTGAGGGGCTGCAGCCGCGTGCGGATCCGGGGGAGTGCGGCTGATCTCCCGCGGGAGAAGGGGCCGGCTCCTGGCTGGCCACACTCACCCCCTTCACCCCCAGACCCCACGGACTGGAGCCCCGGGAACGTGCAGAAGTGGATCTTGTGGACGGAGCACCAATACCGGCTGCCGCAGATCGGGAAGTCCTTCCAGGAGCTGTCGGGAAAGGACCTGTGTGCCATGTCCGAGGAGCAGTTCTGCCAGCGCTCGCCCGCCTGCGGCGACATCCTGCACGCCCACCTCGACATCTGGAAGTCTGGTGGGTGCCAGGGAGCGGGAGGGAGCTGGGGAGGGTGGGCGATGCTGTGCAGCAGGAGATGGCCCCCTGATCCCCTGCTCCTCCTTTCCAGCCGCCTGGATGAAGGAGAAGGCTGCCCCTGGAGACGTGAGATACTGCGGTGAGTTCTGTGTGGGCTCAGCTCCACTAGCCCCACTCCTGTTCCGGGCGGGTCCCGGCTCCTCGAGGGGTCCCTTCCTGCTTAATTGCAATTATCCGGAGCACTGGAGCAGCTGCAGAGGAGGTCACACTCCTTCTGCCCCAGAGCAGCCCCACGGCGCTCTGCAAAATGCAGCGAAGGGGAAATGGCTCCAACCCCTCAGTGGCCCTGTCCCACACCCCCTGAGCAAAGGCAGGACCGAGCTGCTTCAAGACAGGGAGGAGAAAGCAAAGCTTCCAGACCCAGCGCCTGGGCTGAGCCCCTCTGGCATCGAGCGGGGCTTCCTTGATTCGTGCAGGACGGTGCACAGCAGCGAGCTCTGTCCCTTCCCTCCTCTCACCCGTCCCTTCCTGTGGCAGGAGGTGACACCAGCTGGGCCGACAGCGAGGTGGACTCGTCCTGCTCCGGCCAACCCATCCACCTCTGGCAGTTCCTCAAGGAGCTGCTGCTGAAACCGCACAACTACGGGCGCTTCATCCGCTGGCTCAACAAGGACAAAGGTGGGCGGGGATGCCCCAGAGGTCCCGAGGCGGGCGCTGCGGGGCTGAGGTGGGGCAGGAGATGCTGTAACCCCCCGTGCCCCGCTCCTCTGCCAGGCATCTTCAAGATCGAGGATTCGGCGCAGGTGGCCCGGCTGTGGGGCATCCGCAAGAACCGCCCGGCCATGAACTACGACAAGCTGAGCCGCTCCATCCGGCAGTACTACAAGAAAGGAATCATCCGGAAGCCCGACATCTCCCAGCGCCTCGTCTACCAGTTCGTCCACCCGGTGTGAGCGGCGGCGGGACCGGCTGAGCGCCGGGAGGGACGGGGGACCTTCACTGCCTCCCTCTGCCAGCAGCAAGGACCTCGGCTGAGGTGCGGGGCTTCCCCTGCCAGGACCTGCTGGAAACGGACGCAGGGACCCCCTCACCTCCAGCAGGCCCTGGTGCGGGGCAAGGACCGTGCAGAGCCCTTGTCTCCCATGGGAAGGGTGAGCACTGTGGCTGGACTGTCCCCCCCTCCTCTCCTCCCTCCCGAGTTCTGGCTGTAGGTGGCTTTACCTCAGCCATTGTTCAGGGAGGAAAAAGCCTGGGGCATGAGCTGAGACAAAAGCACCACAGGGACATCCACGGCTGCTCATGGTGGGGTCCTGTCTCAATCCCTGTGGGAGCAGCCTGGCACCAACCAAGGGTGCTGGCAGCAATGGGAGCTGTGCCTCTGGGGACCTTGGGCACCCCCTTGAGACAGGAGCATCCCCCCTTTGCTTTTCACTCCAGCACATGCTCAGCTTCTCCCCTTCACTGGGATTTGGGACTGCAAACGGGAGTTCTGCAAGGGGAGCAGCTGTAAATGTGGGTGTGGGGCTGTGCACAGTGTGGGTCCCCCATCCTTGTGCATGGGGCCACCAGCATCCTCCTAAGAGCCCAGGTTCTGTGCCCTGGCACAAAGCTCGTCCCTTGATTTGGATTTTACTTGGACTGCCTGATTCCAGAGTTTGGGGAAATGGAGATGGCAGCTTTGCCATTTCCCTCTGGACAATAACACCAGAGTGTGATCCACCAAGGCTGAACTAGGGCAGAGAACTGGGAATTGCTTCACCTGCTTATTGCACCAGAGTCAGAGTTACCTGGCAATGTTGATCTTTTATATTATAGGTTTTTTTATTTGTTTATTTGCTTTTGGGTTTCGGCTGGTGATGAGTTGTGCAAATGCCAAGGGGTGGCCTGGACTTCCAGAGATGTTCTGTGGCAGCGTAAAAGGAAAAACACCTGGTTCTTTGTCTTTTGATTTTTCCCCTTAAAAAATCTGCTGGTGCCAGCTACTGCCTTTCCCCTCTGTTCTTCCTCTGTGCTGCTCCCACAGCAGCGGATGTAGACAGCCCTGCTCACATCCTGGCAGGAGAGATGGAGGGTGGCGAGGAGCAGGGGAAGGAGGAAAACAGGAAAACTACCTTGGCCTTTGGAAAAGGGGATGAAAAAAACAAAAAAATGGGG